TTGGACCGTGGCCCCATAAATGGCCTGGTATCGCCACACCAGGGCCTCGTATAGACCACCTGAAGGAATGCTTGAGGTGGTGGGACTACCATTTAAAGGGCCTTCCAACCGGTGTCATGGACGAGCCTGTGATGAGGGTGTACATGAGGGATGGTATGTTATCATCGGTTTGTCTGATTTTTTTTCCAGAAGCATCTGTTTGTACCAAAACTAACCAATTTTTACGATTCCAGGCATTTCGAAGGCGCACCAGAAGGAGATATGGCCAGGGAGATGGATAGCAGAAGAATGCTGGCCCTCACCAAATGTACACCAACACGAATTTTTCCTACAAACTGATAGGGGACTGGCAGTTGCATCGGATAGAGACGAAAAAATCATTGAAAAAGAGCCAACAGAATCCATTGTACCAGTCAAGTCCTCGTATCTCAGTGGAGCGTGGGGCGGTTTTCTTTTTGCAAATGGTCTCGAGGATCTGCCGGTGGAGCAGGGAAAAGAGGACGTTTTGGCGGAGTGCTGGGAGACGAAAACGCTTAAAGAGCCTGTATCAGTAGTAGGCTTTCCCGAGGTTTATTTACAGATAAGCTGTGATAGACCCAGTGCTCTGGTAGCCGCCAGACTTTGTGACGTGTTTCCTAATGGCGAATCAGTGCTAATCACAAGAGGTAGGTCCACTAAACGAACAAACCACCTGGTGTTTCTGATACTTTCCTATTTTCAGTCTTTTACTGTTTGCTTTGGTCGTTTACAATTTAGTTAAGGTTAAGAGTACCTAAGTATGAGAAAACTTTTGTCGTAAATTTGCTTACCGCAAAACATCCCATTTCACGATCAAACGTGAACTGCAAACCTCAAACCGGGTGCCTAAAGCTACGTCACGTGATGTTTTGAAGTTTTTTGTTTGCGGTAGCCAAGATAAAAACCTTAGACTTAAAGTCACTAAAATTTAATCTACACGCCACTTCAATTTAAGTCATTGTGCTCAACCTTGTCTGATGATTTCGAAATTTGTTAATTTTTTAATTTCCCGCAGGAGTGCTAAACTTGACTCATCTCCGCGGTCATGCTTCAGAAGATATTCAACCTCTTCAACCCAATGAAAACATCCATGCGCAGTTAAAGCTTGACTCTACAGCCTACACTGTTGCCGCTGGTCATAAAATTCGCCTGGCGCTCTCCTCAGTCCAATGGCCGTTAGTGTGGCCTTCTCCCCAGTCCTCAAGTCTCTTTATAAAGACAGGAAGTCAAAGCAAGCTACTACTTCCAGTTCGAGCATCAAGTGAAGACGTTAGAAATAGGGATTCAAAGTTGCAATTGCAAGAGATGAAATCAACGATGGAGTATAAACACGAGGTTCTTCCTTTTGAGTGGCGGAGAAGACCAAAGAAAGCAAGGTAAACTGAAAGAGGTTTTGACTGTCACAGCTGGACATTTGTTGTCACTTAGCGAAACTAAACATTAGATTTTGGTTCCTTCCTCTGTTCGCTGGTAACTGGTTGATTGGCTGATATGGTCGTTTGATCACGGTCTCGCTCGCTGTTTTGTTTTCTCGAGTTTACTTTGTTCTATATTTGTTTGCTGGTCCGTCACGCTATTCTTAATTATTTTACAGTCATGAGAATTCGTTGGGAAAAAAATTCTCTAGAGCCTTCAATTTATAAAGGAAAGGATTTAATTTAGCTGTGTAACAAAAAGGGTGTATTATTTATCGCCTGAAAATATTCCCTGTGGAGTAGTTTTTCTGTGGAATAGTTTTACTGCAGGGTGGTAACTTCTACCTATTATGAAACCTTCGACATTTTCATTATGTTGTCATGAAAATAGTATTACACCCATGAAAGATGCTTCTTTTTTATGTAGGACGCTGGAGACATGTCAGTTGTCAGATGAATACAAGCTGTCATTTACCACTGACCTTGGATGTTTTCATCTGAAAGAGACGAACCGCATCTATGATAGCATCAGAAAAGAAATATTTACGATCAAAGAAGGCGACCCAACCACTGCTAAGGTGACAATACAAGGCCAGGTTGCATTAAAGAAAGAGGATCAGATCGCTGAGCAGGGAAACAGTAGGCGCAAAAGGTGGGAAACAATGGTCCAGGCTTCGAGCGAGATGTGGTGTGATGAGCAGTTCTTTTATGTGAAAAATCAGTTAACAGCTTGGCACAACAGTAAAGAGTGCTTTGATAGGATATGGACAAAGAAAATAGAACGCTTTTATGTGTAAAAGATACTTCAATTGCGAAATTGAAATCAAACTTGGAATGGTTTTTTTATTTTTTTGGGTGAAGGTTCGACGACTTAATTTTAAATTTAATTTTACAAGTGGAAAATGGTGATATAGTGTGTTAGGCAAAAGAAATTTGATATAAAAATAGTTTTTTTATCGCTGTTTTTTTTATTTTAAAACTTTTTATTCTTTTTAGTTTTTTAAAAATTATTTCGTACGATTTTGTAAGGATTTCTGTAGGATTTCAAGGTTCCAGGGATTAACGATATAATAATTATTATCCCCCAAAATTGAATCATCGAAATGACAAATGAGTGGTGGACTAAAAGGCAGAGTATTATCCCAAAATACGCGTCATCACGCCCAGTGAATTTCTTTTCCACGCCTCTCAAATACTAATTTTTGATCGCAAAAGACCTGAAGGGTCAGTGACGTGCGGAACAAGTAAAGGTCATTATTTTTGGTAACTTCATATAGTAATGTTGATGATAATAATAATAATAATAATAATAATAATAATAATAATAATAAGTGATAACAATATTAATAATCATAATTTTAATTTTATAATTTTACAATACTATAATTTTTATTAAAAAGATGCAGTATCTGTTTTTGATTCCATATTACAATAAAAAGCGTCCAATACAGCCCCTCAGCTAGGCCCAATCTCCAAAGTGGGTCATGTTTAGTAAAGATTATGTACCTTAAGGGGATTGTTCCGAAAGAAAATACTTCTCGTGAAGATTAAGACACACAAACGGTGGTGATTTAAAGTTCCTAGCTACAATCCCCTTTCTGGCTGCGCGTGACACTGTCTTAAATATTTAATTACATGCGACATTTCCTCGAGCGACGGAAGTTTTCACCTGTAACTCGCGGCACCCTCTGTAGCATAGCCATCGAGGTGCGGCATACTTATGGAAATGTCATGTACTTGTCAAATAGTTGTGAACATTATTTCTTATACTAATGTCGAGACGATATGTAAGGAGTAGCGTGCACCAAATAAGGGGTTTGTGTGCATAGGTTATAGACGATATGTGACCCGATTGGATTAGACATCCCTATTGAATAACACAGTAGGCACGCATAAATTGAAAATGAAAAGGAAGTTGTCAGAAGTCTCAACATGGCCGTTGCTGCTACACTTCTTCCAGTACTCCTGCTGTTCCCTGTCTACCTCTTGCCCTTTGTAACACAAGCAAACCAGTTAACTGTCGATTGCTCTTTCGGAGAGCCAGACTTGGCAAGTAACCTTACAATGTCTGCCATGGTTACAGGCAGACTTGCAGCTTCCAAATAT